CCCCACCTCCGGCGCACTCACCTTTGCGTGAAGACTCCCATGGCAAGCTTCTGCGCGCATCCATACGCTCCCCTGTGTAGCCACACGTACGCATCCACTCCAAGCGTCTGGCCCTTGTAGGCGGAGATGTGCTTGTTGACAGAGACATCCTTCAACAGCGTCAATAGACCTTGGATGCCCATTGCGTGCGCCCGCGTCCTGTGGCGGAGGTGGAACTACTTGGCAGGGCTGTCACTGTAACGACGCCACTTGCTCATGACCGCTTCATTCGGAAAAGTTTGTCTGGCCATGCAAGCATGGAGCTCGCAGCTGAGGTCGATCAAAGACGCTGCGGCCTCGGAGCGCGCGCAGGTCTCCCTGAGAGAGCACAAGCCTGACTATATGCGGGGCCTGGCGGATGTCGAGGAATGGAAGCGTAGCGTAAAGTGGGAGTAGTCGAAATGCTTACACTCCCAACATCAAGTGGTAGTTGCACAACTGCAAACAGCAGGGGATCCGAAAATGCTGGCTTGTTGTCGTAAAGAGGAGCTCGACGAGCAGTCCCCATTTGAAAGGCAGATCAGAACGCGGCACATGCACATGCACACAGCCGCTTGGCCCCCCTCGCGCGCCCAGACTTGTCGAGTCCAACACCGCGACGCGTATCTGGACGCGTCAATCGTCAATTCTGAAATCGAGCCGCACGCGCCAGATGCATCCATCATTCGCGGCTGCTCGATCGCGACGATGAAACATCGACAGAAAGGGCTTGCAAAGACCGTCAAGGCGTAGCGGCCCATACAGGAATGCGCCATCCCGTACATTGCTGATTCGCGAGGCACACGGTACATGTCTCGGGATAGGGCAACCAAAATCAATTGTGGCTCTGGTGGTCAAGACTGTGACGGATGTGACGGTAAAAGGTGACCGACAGGGAAGGTGGGGTGGGGGCCAAACACGTGTGTCAAAGGATGGGCACAGAGGGCGTCAAGGAAGACGATTGGAAAGCGAAATGGTCCGTGGAGCCGCTTACGCGCGCAGCAACGCAATAGAGGCGACAGAGATGAAAGAGACGAGCATCTAGTTGGAGTTGCCTAGATCAGACAGGTTGCCTTGCGGCTCGAACACGAGATTAGCCGTGAGCGCATCGCTGCGTCTGCATCCCTTGACGACCGTAGACAACGTCGAAGCGCTGTTCTTGGGATCGTCGGGACTCAGCCAGATTTCAGTGTCGACGGTGGTGCCGTCCAGCTCGAACCATTTGGTCTGAAGCGGCACGCCTCCAGAGGTGACCGCATCGCTTGCAAAACCGTCGCCTTCGATGTAAAAGTTGTAGGTCTCGTAGAAGCCGTTGTAAGTCCCGCCGGCCACGACGCTCAGACCCGGAAGGAGCATGCCGGGCATCATCTCCAAGAAGGCCATTCCAGTGTTGGGACAGTCCGTGGCAACGCCCATCGTCACCTCGTCGCGAGGGTATTCTCCGCTAAAGGGAACCGAAGAGCCCAGCATCCAGCCGCCTTGAATGTCGAGTAGCAGCAGCGAGAAGACGTTGGGAGTGGCAGGATCGGGAGATTGCACCAACGCGACGCGACTCGCGTCCTTGTCGAGCGACTGCACAGACATTTGGTAGCCCCACGTACCGGTCGGGTCCTTGATGTAGCCCGAAAGCTTCTCATCAACACCGAGCGACGGCTGAGCTGGAATGTCAACGCGAACAATACCGGTAGGAGCGACGATGCTGAGGCTGGTGGTCGTGACCGTGGCGGTCGCTGTCGAGGTTTTGGTGGTGGTCTGCTTGAGCGTGGTGGTGTAGGAGACGTCGGTGACCTTGGTGCTCACGACCGACACGACAGAGGTGAAGGTTTGATCGCCATCCGTGGGGGAGCCTCCTCCGATCAGAGCGCGCAGAGCGCCTTGGGTACGGGGTTTACCATTCTTGCATTTGCAGAGCAAGTTGTAGGTGTCGTTATCCGCACCGTTGGTGGTACGCTCGCAGGTCGACGTTCTGACGGAAGAAGAGATGGCAGAGCACTCTTTGCTGCAGGAGGCCTTGTAAGCCGTGCAGAAGCGTGCGACGGTAGCCTTTTGACGACGCAGCATGCCGTGATGCTTGTGGTGCGTGCCATCGCGGGCCTTGATGGAAGCGCCGCCAGCACCGCGAGAGGCTGCAGTGCCGTCAGCTGCATCCGCTTCCGCATCGACACTGGCTGCAGCTTCGGTCTGCACCTTGGCGGGAATAGCTACGACGAGGACATCCTCCTTGGTCGAGCCGGCAGCCACGACGGCGCCGGGAGTCGCGAGGACGATGCTGAGAGTGCTCGTGACGGTCTGCGTTCCGGTGGTGGTGGTGAGGACGGTGATGGAACTGGTGGCAGTGGCAGTGGCCGTGTTGGTCTTTGTCGTCGTGCTGCTCTTTGTCACGGTCACGGCCTTGTCTGGCTTGATGCCAATGACGCGATTGAGAGCGCTGGTGGTCTTCTCCTTTGTGTTGCACTTGCAACCAAAGGTGAAGCCGGTGCCAGAGTTGGTGACCGCTGAAGCTTTCTCGCACCAGTACACGACCTTTTGAGTACCGGTCTGATTTGCGAGGCAGATGTCGTGGCAGGAGGAGATGAAGCGAGAGCAAAAGGTGGTCAAGGACCCGGATTGAGCCGTGACGCTGGCCATCTTTGCATTCACTGCCACCTTGGCTGCTCCCTTGATGCCCAGCTTGTTGTTGGCATCCGCAACTTTTGCTTTGGCGGTCAGCGCTTGCTGCAGGTTTGCGGTCTGCTTGCCCTTCTTTGCCGCTACGCTGTCGGCATTACACAGCAAGAGCAGGGAGACCACGCCCAGCGATACGAGGCTTGGCAGTATGCGCACCATGTCGAATTTGCGGGTGTGTTGGAATCGGAGAAGCCTGTGGGAGGAGTAGTAGGAGGCGAATCTGGGGTTGCTTTTGTAGCCGGAACAGTGGAGAGCGATGGCGATGGCCCAAGGCAGAGAGCCGTGAGAGAAGACTGGCGAGACGAGAGAAGTGGTGAAAGGAATGTAGGCAAAAAGAGCGTCAAGCGAAGGAGGGAGCGGCTCGGGGGAAAGTTGGCAGGTTCAGCGGAATACTGCGATGGACAATAGCTGGGAGAGTGGGTGAGGGGGCAGGGAAGCAGGCAGATGAGGAGATGGAGGGGAAGGGAGAGGGAGAGGAGGTGATGGTCAGATGGAGTGGAAAGAGGAGGTGATCAGCGCTGTGAGGAGAGGAAGAGGTGAGGCGTCTATCGTCGCGATGTACCTGCAAAGCCATGCGGAATGTGTGATGCTGTGAGATCCAATGGCAGGCGGCAGCAGCAGCAGCAGCAGCCGCAGCAGCAGCAGCATCTGTATAGGGATATCACTCGAGCAAAGCACCTGCTGACGCACCGCAACGCAGTCAAAGAGAGTCACAGCTTCACTCAGACTCTTGACTGAGTGCCGAAAGATGAAATGATAATGACCTACTCAATCTGATTCCGAACTCTGAATCAAGGGACTGCATGCTCGATAGACTTTGCTGGGAACATGCAGCCCAGCCGGGCGGGGCGTGGCGTGGGCGTGGCGAGGTATGTGGAAAGAGGATGGGCATGGCATGGCATGGCATGGCATGGCCATCTGCGCCCAGACACAGATTCCCGCGCCTCTCTCTCTCATCTCTCTGCGCGCGCAACGATTGGCGAAAAGTCCGAAAGGAAGCATGCGGATGGCGAAAAGTCCGAAGGAAACCATCCAAAGGGTTTGTGTGTAGAGACTCGCGGCTGCCTGCCGCATCTTCAACTCCGAAAGACTTTGTGATTGGATTGCTGCCTGGATGACGCGCGTGAAGGCAGCAAGTCACGATGAACCACACACTCGATCGTGACGCTCTCGACCGACTCACGACGACTGCGAGTGCTGCTGCTGCTGCTGCACTCACGACTCCCAACCCCAACCAAGCACAACCGAGAAGAAGAAGAAGGCTGAGCTGGAAAAATGTATGCGCCGCACTGATGCGTGCAGAGGGGCTAGGCTGTTCCAAGTCCGCCGCTAATGCAGGTACGGCTGCATGCATACCGGTACATAAATACACATATTGCCCGGTCCATACAGCATACAGTACATGTACACACATACACACGCGCTGGTGCATATATGGTGTCGCTCGTTCAATTGTGAATTCCTATTCGCTGCTGCATGCCTGCCTGCTCGTCCTGTTCCTCATTCTCAACCGACGTTCCCTGTCTCACCCCCCTTAGCTGCAATCAAGCATAGCATATGGAGCTCTTGACTCGCTACACCCTTCCACTCGCGCTCCGAAGCGTGTCTGTGATGGTGCATGACATGCTGACGGGTGCGGATCCAAGAGGCGCGCCGAGTCGTGAGTAGCCCGATGAGCGAGTAAGGGCCAAGAGAGAAAAGGGAAGAACATGACTGCGCGGCTCCACGCGGCTCCGCTCCAGCACCTCACTCACTCACTCACTCCGACCAATCAATGGATCACCAGCAAGGAAGGACCAATGCGAGGATTTGCCGTGCCGTGCCGTGCGTGCGTTTGCAGACTCATCGACTCGAGATTGTGTCCGCGGCCGTATCGGTAGAGTGTGACGATCGCCATCGAGCAGCAAAGACTCTGAAGGGCAGCGGGCTGGGGCGCTCCTAGCAATCAATCGTCCCAACGCTTCTCTCTTTGCTCTGCAGCTCTAGAGAAGGATGGCAGCATGGCTGAAGTGAGGCAGCCAGATCCTTTAATTGTGATCCGGGTCCGGGTTCGAGCATTCGCGATGCTCGTCTACTTTTGAGTGCGCACTATGCACGGACTCTACCACCAGCCATGCATGAGTCTATTCGCTTCATCGCTGCAAATCCCTGCCTGCCTATGGCCAACTCACGCTCATACCACACCCGCATATCCCGACTGCGAGGTTTCGGTCAATTCCAAAGGGACACGCTTCGATCTTGTACACTCAGACTGCATCGCATGGACAATCGTCAATCGCCATCTTGGCACGACTGTGACTGCGCAAAAAGCGCGACCATTGTAGGCGCGTGCGTGCCTGCTTGCCATGCATGGATGCCCAGTCACGAGTGCTGCAGCATGCAACAACAAAAGCTTCCTCGAAGGTGATCCGCGCACCCCGCCTCGGCCCGTTCCCGTTCCCGCACCCGCGCGCGCGCGTGCGCGTTAGCGCATTGTACCTTCCAAGCCACACGCGCGCGCGTCAATCAATCGCGAGCCGCGAGCGAGCTACAGTCACAGTATGCCTACTCGTGACTGCAGTCAGGTCGAGAGTCAAGAGTCTATCGTGACTGCTGCCGGTCAACAACGGGAGGAATCGAGATTGTTCGAGAATGACGCGCCAACAAAACACGCTTTCGCATTGTGGAGGATGAATGGATGGATGGAGCAGCCCTCATGACGGTGCATGGTGCATGCTTTGGCGAGAGTCGCGAGGGACCGCTTCATCACATATCCTTCCTTGCTTCCTTTCTAATTCCGCCTACTCTGACTCTTGCAGAGGCGAAATCATCCTTCAAAGCCTGCATCAACGTCCGCCATTCGTGTCCATGCGTCATCCTTTGAGGTCTGCGATGGAGTGATGTAAAAGTCTACCGTTGCCAAGAGCTGGATTGCTAGAAGCAAGGAGGGACAGCAAGTAGTCACGGCACCAAGATCGCGACTTGCGCTAACTTGCAGTCATGGCCTCTGATTACTGGCTATCCTCCCAATGGTCAGTCAAAGGCGGCTGTATGCGTGTATGAGTCGCTCTCTTCGCGTCTCTGCCTCGCCATGGTCCGGCTGACCAGGCTTGTGGCTGTAACCCCCCCCCCCCCCCCCAACATCTGCACCACGCAGCAACCACTGGCTCTTCTCCAGATCGCAGCTCATCACTGCCAGGGCTGAAGATCTGCGTTACGCAGACTCGCCAGACGATGTAGCTGCCATAGGCATTTGGACCTGCAATGGTGAGAGGAGAGCAAAAACAAGCAGAAGGGCGGAGCAGCACGCTGCTTCCCTCACGGGCTAACGCTCCCGGCCCCCCTCCTCTCATCTTTGCGCTCCCAGCAATTGCAGCTCTGACCAAGCGGCTATCGCAGCGACAGCGAGTCACTGCTACTGCTTGCATCTTCTTCAGGCGCTTCTATGCCAAGATCGGCAACTCGTACTGCAGCACGGACCCTGCCATGGTTGCCACAGCTTGCTTTTACATCGCTGCCAAAATCGAAGAGACGCCGGTGCACGTCAGGGTAGTGGCATCGGAGGCAGCCAAGCTGTGGAGCGGTGAGCAAGATGCGATGGCATGGCTGCACCGCCACAGCCGCAAACGCTCACGAGTCGAAATGCTCCACTCACGCTGCCAACTTCTGTCCCGCAGAGCTTGGTCATCCGAGCTTCCCCTCCGACGTCTCTTCGCTTGGCCAGATGGAATTCTATCTGCTGGAGGACCTAGACTTTCATCTCATTGTGCATCATCCTTACAGGGTGCTCCTCACATTCTCCAACAATGTGGGCAAAATCGCACTCAGCAAGCTCGATGATGACTTTGGTGGATCGATAGGCATGGATCTGAACACGCACACAGCAGGAAAGGAGGGTCTTGGCCTTGGCTTGGGTATGGATGTGGAATCTGAAGATGCGCGATTGGGTGATGCGTCGAAGAATGATGGCTACGCTTCCACATTCTCCGACAATGAGTTGAAAGCTTGGGAAGCCGATAGGGCCGCCCTCACCAAGGGCGACGATGGTCAGCCTATTGCCAGACTGCCAGAGCTAGATGACGCTGCGCTACAGTACGCGTGGTGAGTGACGCGGCTGCGTCTGGGGCTGCGCTAGCTCCGCTTGTTGAAGCTCCAGTCGATTGCCCTTCATGGACAGGTTTGTGTTGAACGACACTTATCGGACGGACATTGGCTTGCTGTATCCGCCCCACTTGATCGCTATCGCTGCTTTGTACCTCGGCTTCACCCTCCACCAGCCTTCCAGGGACAGTCTCGTGGCTTCCGCGGAGAAGATGCGAGAACGTCGACGAAAATGGGCGGCAGCTGCTGCTGCTCTCTCCCATCCGTCCAATCAGGATAGCGGGTCGGTTGGAGGAAGCGAATCTGCGGAGCAACACTCTGGTAGCGGATCTGGTCCATCTGCCCAAACACCAAATGCGCATCCATCGTCCGCAGGCTCTTCGCCGATCAAGCCCAGCAATCTGGTCGACTCGCCACGAGCTTCGACGAGCGCGTCAAATCTGGGTGCGACATCGGCCGCACCGCGAGGTCTTGCGTCGTTACCTGCGCGTCCAGCCCACCTTCCAGCGAAGCCCGGCAGCTACCATCCGTTGAGCAGCGCTGGCCCGACAAGCTCACCTAGAGCTTCTGCAATGGGTAACGTCCTGCATGGCACTACGGACACAATCACAAGCCAGTCGCTGGGGCTCGTGGGCTCACCAGCTGGCAGTACAGCGCATCTACCATCAAACAAGCGAGCGGCACCGGCATCGGCATCGGCATCGGCAAGTCGAGATCTTCCGCCGCCCCCCGTTCCTCCTCCAGACGCCTTGTCATTCTTTGCAGCTTTGAATGTGGACTTTAGACTGGTGGCAGAGGTGGTGCAGCATATCCTCGCGGGCTACGAAGTCTGGCACAGGATCGACCACGCTTCGACTGCTCGAACCGAACAAGCACCGCAGTCTCATATGGATGGCTTGGAGGATGGGAAGGATAAAGGTGCGACGCAAACTTCGACGAGCAATGGCAGCGGAACGAGCAGCAGCGTCCTTTCGGATGGGCCGGCGATGTTTGCCAAGTTGCACCGCATGAGGGAGAGGAGAAGATTGGAGCTTAATCTATTGAATGAGCGATGATGAGCATTCGCACGGGTCATTAAAATTCTGAGCACCCCCCCCCATCTTACGAGGCTTTGGTGTTGGTGTTGCATTCTGTGCCCCTCATCAAGCGGACTTACCAA